CCCCCCCCCCCCCCCCCCCCCGCCTCTGGCCTCCCTCCAGAGCGCCTCTCCCCGTGCCTCCTCACCCCATTCCCGTCCCCGTCCCCCCAGGGCTACTTCGGGGACCCCTGGAACGTGTTTGACTTCCTGATCGTCATCGGCAGCATCATCGACGTGATCCTCAGCGAGATCGACGTGAGTGGGGGGGCGGGTGAGACGGGACCTGGGCCTGTTGTCTCCCCTCCTCTTCCTGCTCCCCGACCCCCAGCCTGTGGCCTCCCTGTCCCCCCGGCTTGGTCCTCGCGCCCACACCCCCCACTCCCACCCCTGATGGGCTGCCCCTTGGGTCTCATGCCCGGCCTCACTGTCTTTTTCTCTCTTGCCCTCCCACCGTGTCCCTCCTCCTCTCTCCTCCCTGCCCGCCTCCCCTCCGCCCCCTCGCTTCTCTCCACAGACCTTCCTGGCCTCCAGCGGGGGGCTGTACTGCCTGGGTGGCGGCTGCGGCACCGTGGTAATTCCCGGCTGCATGCGCCTGCCGCCTGCACGCTGAGGCCTGGCCGGGTGCATGGGGGGACCCGCACTCAGGACTCCCTCCCCAGAGCAGTGCCCCCCCCCACCCAGGGCCCGGGTCAGGGTGGGGCAGGCTCTGTGGCAGAACATGCATGAATCACGCGTGGATGTCGTGGGGTTCCCAGCACCCTGGAAACCGGGTGGGGGGCTCTCCCCGTCCAGGGTCTCGGGGACAGAGCTGTGAGTGAGCCCGAGGGACGCTCTGCGCTGGGAGGACCTGGGGGCGGGGCGAGGGGGGAGCTGCTCAGGGGCAGCTTCAAGAGCAGGTGAGATGAGCCCTGGCCTGTGTGGCTCAGTGGCTAGAGCGTTGGCCTGTGGACTGAAGGGTCCCAGGTTCGATTCCTGTCAAGGGCACAGGCCCGGGTTGTCCTCGATCCCCAGTAAGGGGCGTGCAGGAGGCAGCCGATCCATGATTCTCTCTCATCATGGATGTTTCTGTCTCTCTGTCCCTCTCCCTTCCTCTCTGAAATCAATACAAATATTTTTTTTTTTTAAAAAGAGAGAAAGAGAGAGAGATAAGGTGAGATGAGGCAGGAGGCCCCAGAGGGCAGGCGATCGGCCTGCTCACAGCCTCACCCAGGCCCAGGCCCGCGACGGGGTGGCTCAGGCCTGCTCAGCGCTCCCCCCACCTCCCTCCTCCCAGCTGAGAGCCCAGAGCCTCCCGGAGCCCAGGCAGGGCCAGCGCTGGGGCCACATGCCCCACCGGGGACTCTCAGGCCTGCTCAGCGCTCCCCCCACCTCCCTCCTCCCAGCTGAGAGCCCAGAGCCTCCCGGAGCCCAGGCAGGGCCAGCGCTGGGGCCACATGCCCCACCGGGGACTCTGGTCTCCCCCACACACTGCCCCTCCGCCTTCCCTCCCCGACCCC